AGACTGAAATCGTGAAAATTATAAATGCTGTCAATGCTGTTAAATCAAAAAAAAAGTAAAGCAAAAGAGTAAATCACCCTCTAAAAAGAAGTTTAGTCCAAAGAAGAGACAGAGTCTCGAATCTCCGATTCAACGTACTTCACAAAAGAAATCAGGTACGATTATCGACTCACAAATTCGAAAAATTATTCTAGCTATGTTTAATGATCCAGAGGTTATAGAAATGATTAAAAACAATATTAATAACACGAATTTATCTATGACTCGAAGAGTCGCCCCTAAAGGGTCTGCAAAACCCGACTTTATAAATTTTCGAGAGCCGGCCCCAGAAATACCCAAATCAGATGACGAAGAGGAGACACTGAACGATCCTATGGAGATTGATTTTGTCCGTCGGAAAGAACCGGTAATTAGTATTGCAACTATACCAGTTAAGATAAAACGCTTAAAAATTCCTGCATTGGTACTAGATAGTGGCGCCGAACCTGCAATTGTATCAGAAGATATTGTTAAACGTGTAGGCGGGAAAATAGATACGTCAGAAAAATATGATCTTAGTGGTGTTGCTACTGTTCCAACAGAATCTGTTGGTATTACTCATAATTTGCCAATAACATTTCCTCCAGGTTTTACTATACGTGAAGATTTTGTAGTTGTACAAGTTCCTAAACTGACATTAATATTTCCAAATCCGCTTCTTAAAAAATATAAATGTGTTGTAGACTGGGGTAACGATAAAATGAAGATTCATTATAATGGAGAAGATTTTATTATTCTGGTTAAAATGCACAAAGTCAAGAATAAACTTGAAGTAAATTGCGCTACCGCATCTCAGAATGATAAACCTTTGATATCTGATCAAATTTCTCAAGAGGTTGATAGTGATAAGGATGACAATATAACATTGGAGAAATGGCATGCTCCTGCGGGTTTTAGCCTAGATTCTGATGATTCGACTTTAAAAAAAACGCATGAGTTATGAGGAGTTAGAAAAATCGCTATATACTACTCTCCAGTCTAAGGCTGAAATAAATGGTCTTTGTGAAAAGTTGCAAATGCGTTATGAAAAGCTACTCGAATGTATCTCCTCTAGAGATGATAGCGTAAATAAAGAAAAGATAGACTAAGTAGTAGCTAATAGGCGAGCCATATTTGCTTTATTTTTCTCATCTCTTCTGGCTTCTTTTTCATATAATACATCCAGATCATCTCCGCCTATTTTTTTTGTAGAGTTATCAGTGGAGCTGGCACGGCTAATATTAACTAACATCGAGCTACTACTAGGTATTGGATCAGATATGTGAACAGATTTAGACCGAGATTTGGAACTTCTCTTTTTTATTTCAGTATTGAGGGGAGTAATAGATTCCAGATGTAATATCTCTCCTTTGATTTGATTAGAATTTTCAGGTAAAATTACTGGCACAGATAATATTTCGGAAGAGATGGTACTTTGTATTACTTGTTGCTGGCGTTCTTGATTTTCCCATATATCATCAACTCGATGTTCATTAATATGGAAATCTCTTATTATTCTATATTTAGGAATCTTTCCCTTAAGCGTTCTAATTTTTTCTATTTGTTCAGAAGTTAAAAGTGTAGAACCTCGTCGATAATATGATTTTAGATATGAGGTATCCATAGTTGATTTTTTTATTGAATATTTAGAATAATAAAAAAATAATATTTAATATTTTAGAACAATAAAAAATAATATTTAATATTTTAGAATGATAAAAAATGATATTTATTGTTATAGATAAATGAGGAATATTAACAAAACTAGTACAAAGTACTAGAAATTGAAATATGGATAAAAATAATTACTATATTACCGAATTCAATAATAGCTAATAATATTTTTAATAGATAACGATATCTAACGTTAAATATCGTTAGATAATTATAGAAATTATTAATATGGAAGTTCCGCATATAAGTCATAAATACTCTTGATTTCTTTATCCCAGTTGATAGTATTAGTATTTCTTATCTGCTGTTTACGCTCCCGATTTTCTATATATTCCATAACGCGAGTATGAGAAATACGATATTTTTTTGCCATAGTATTTACAGCATCAGTTATCTTACCTGGCGATTCTTTAATTTCTTTGATAGCTTCATCAGATAAGTATGTCGCATTATTACTATAATATTCTTTATGTATACGTCCCATTTTATAAATTATGACTAGTCTTTAATATCTGTATATAAATAATTCAAATGTTGGCTAATATACATACATTACAAAATATTAAAGGCCATCGACTTGGTAGTATACGCGAAGAAGAGCTAGAAAAAAAATACACGATGCTATCAAATCCAAAGCTGAAATTAATAAGCTTAGTGAAAAATTACAGGATAAATATATAAAGCGAATGAAGGCTTTTGATCGAGAAAGAAAGGGGTGGAATCGGGATTCGTTACGAAATAATACCGAGATTCAAAAGTTACGCACCCATGCTTTGCAGGTTATTAATGAGCATAAGCAACTACAAAATGAAAATACTAATCTTATTTCTCATAACGCACAAAAGGATATTTTTATTGCTGAATCCAAGGCCGAGAATGTTACAAAATCCAAGAAAATTAGATCGCTCGAGTCTATGATCAAGATATTGGAAAGTAAGTTGTCTTTGGCCCAGAAAGATGTGATTTTGATTCAAAATGACTCATCGAAAAAGGATTCTGAGATGTTATCCCCCAAGTCTAAAATAGTTGAAGTAGAACATGAGTTAGCTTCGAAAGTCAATGAACTTGAATGTCTGAAATCGGAGGCTATATCAAACCCCGTACTTGGTGGAAACGATGAAAAAAATACGCTGTGCGAGGAACAAAGTTCCATAACCAAGTCTGATGGTATATCTGCAGTTATTGAGGAATCAGAGATTCGAGGCTATGCCTCACCTAGCAAAAATCTAAGTAAGTATTTTGTACGCGGAAAAAATATGGATCAAACCGAAAAAATTGATAATAATATCCCAACACAAACTAGCACCTTTGGTACTTGCTTCACTAATGATGAGATTACTGAACTACCAAAAATTGATATAGAGGTCAACCCCGAGGTAAATAATAGAACTAGCATTAGTGAAATTAACAAGGATGGTATACTAGATATATCGATAAAACCCAATGCATCAGAGGCTATGCCTCAAAATGCGACTCTGCACCTTATACAACCGGATAATAATATATCCGCTTTAATTGAATCGAATTCTCAGATGAGGCCTGGTCCCGAGGCTTTGCCTCTTCCTGCTGTGGCAAGCACTTTAATGTCACCGCTATCGGCATATATTTTTCTTGTTCTGCTAATTATTGCGGTTGTATGGTTTGTGAGACGCACATGGGGATTTGAGAGGAAAAGTGATCGATTGCGGAATATGTGGATCGGGTAACAAAACTATCTATTTGAACTTGGATATTATTTATGTACGAAAAAATATTATTAATATATACGTAATGGCGATATAACAATATATTTATATTAAGCTGACTGCTCCATTCCATGTATTTAGAAAATTATCAAGTACTAGTTGATCTGTTTTCGATATATGAGGAAAGGTAGGTTGTTTAGCAATCATCTCTTTTTTTCTCATAGTCTCAGGTTGGCCAATTTTATCTGGGTTGGATACGTGTTCTTTATACCGCATGTGGTATACTAATTGATAAAAGAAGACATTATATTTCTCGATAATTGGAATAAGTGTATTTAGATGTTTCATAAAATCGGAGCATATAGATTTTTTCATTTCGGCAGTTATCGAAAGATTATTATTTCTAGTATATGCTTTAACATACTCCATAAACTTTTCCCATAATTTCTCGATAGAATTACTTCCTTTAAAATCCTCAAAACTAAGCCATTCCCCATGAAATATCTCGTAGGTATTATCTATCTTCTGATGTAATACAGATTGTGCGGTTTTGATTGCATTCTTGTAAGCGCGTTTGTAAGCATAACCACGATTAGATATTATTTTAGGAGTGATTCCATCTATCACATTTATCTCCTTGATATATGACTCGAGCCACTTCTT